GAATAAAAACCTGATAGGTGTTCTAATCCCTCTCCACTATATCCAAAACTGAAAAAAACGGGGGCTTCAGTTGCACTTTAATGGTCACATCGAGCACCAGGATAGGGAAAAATGTTAATCTTAGTGATTTTGATGATGGCATGATTGATGGTGCCAGACAGGTTGGTCTGAGTATTTCTCTACCCGCTGATCTCCTGGGATTTTCTTGCACAACAATCTCTTGATTTTTTTTTTAGATTAGTTAGAAAAACAGAAAACATCTAGTCAGCTGCAGTTCTATGGTCGGAAACACCTTGCTATTATGAGAGTAGGTGTTGGGGCTTGGAAGGTTGAGTGTTAAAAACCAGCTTCATTAGTGTGGGGGAGGTTAAGTGTTAAAGAGCCTTATCTTCAAAATAACAACAAAGACTTTTAGAAATGTTTACTGATGGCAATCTACACACAGATAAGTGCAGGCTTTTTATTCTTTGCATTCCTTATTTTTCTTTTCCTCTACATTCTTCTCACAGTAGTCATTTTCACAGATTAATCCATCTCCCTTTACTTCCTGGAACTCTAGCACATGTCACTAGGACATGTGACCATGCACATCATCTCAGGGGAGGGAAATGTCTTTCCCTGAAAACTCCCAAGATTTTGCAATTTACAGATAAGATTTCCAAGGAAGGCACCGGTGATGTAGCCTTCCCAGGATGAATCTGTGAGGCCAGAGCTACATCACTACTGCCCAGACATCTCAGCTCTCCCGGATGCCGGCCTCCATCAGTCAGAAAAAAAAAACGGCATAGGAGCTAATAGCTAGATAGCTATTGGCTATTTCAATTTGCAATAGCCAATAGCAAGCTGGCAATTGCACCAGCCCACTGCTGCTGTCAATCAGCAGAGGTGGACTTGAAGTTTTCCATCAGGTCCACCTCTGCTGACTGACAGCAGCAGAGGGCGGGTGCAATAGCCAGCTTGCTCTTGGCTATTGCAAATTGAAATAGCCAATAGCTATCTAGCTATTAGTTCCTATGCCTTTTTTTTTCTGATGGTAGCAGCTGTCAGAACATTAAAAAAAACAGCAGATAGCAAAGGAAGCATCAGCTTCTTTGTTTTTGGG